GGACTTATGTTTACGAGAAACAATCACCTACGGGTGGAAGGTTACATAGATGCTGACTGGGCAGGAAATATCACCGATAGAAAATCCACCTTAGGTTATTTCACGTTTGTTTGAGGGAACCTGGTTACATGGAGAAGTAAGAAGCAAAACTTAGTAGCATATCAAGTGCTGAAGCTGAGTTTCGTGGGAGGCTAAGGGCCTTTGTGAACTTCTTTGGCTTCGAAGACTATTAACCGAAATTGACTTTGCTCCTAGATGCGAGATAGACCTATTCTGTGATAACAAGACTGCAATTGACATTTCTCATAATCAGTCCAGCATGATCAGACCAAACATGTGGAAGTAGACCAGCATTCATCAAACAAAATCTTGAGGCCAAGATAATACGATTCCCATTTGTCAAATCTGAAGACCAGTTGGAAGACATACTTACAAAAGTTGTATGTAGCAGAAGCTTTTCTACAACTCAATTGGCAAGTTGGGCATCCGAGATCTATATGCACCAACTGAAGGGGAGTGTTGGCGTGAGTTGTCCTCGCAAATTATAGGAGGAAAATTTGGGATACACTATCAATTTAGTTAATTAAGCCATGATACATGTATAGCCAAATTTAGATGTTTACGTTCTATTATATATCCATTCAATTCTTGTAAAGAAAGTATTGAAAATAAGACATTTTTTTTATACTGTTTTTTTCAGCATATTGCATCATTTAAAAACTATTTAACTCTTTAACTTGTTAATTTTGTACTACTGTATTTGTATTTGTACACTGGAGGGAGAGGGCTTACCCAGTTTGCTTGTTCTTCTCGATCAAGAGGTCGTTCAAGCGCTTAACATCTTCAAACTCTCCATTAAGGGTGGAGCCCAAGATAGCAGCCACACAGATTGTGTTCTCATCCACCATCTCCACAGCTTTATCAGGGTCCATCACATAGTAACCATCTCTCAGTTTCACCTCCTTCAACTCCACCTCAAAATACCTAGCAAATTTCTCCCAGCATACCTGCATGTATATGAAAGTGTTTGTTTTAAGATACCTTATCATGAAAATCATACTCTCTTAGGCATCATTTTGGTTCGGGTATCATGGGATGGGATTGGGCTAAATTAGTCTAGCGATAACTTAATATCATATTTGCATAATATTAATATTGGCCCTACACTACGGTACAACTCAATCCGAAACCCACTTTGACATGGGCAACCATAAACCCTATGGACTGGGTTTTGTTGTTTTTTTTTTTTTGGGGGGGGGGGGGGGGGAATTTGGGCATACCTGGACGTTGGCACCAGTGACAATGTTGGGTTTGTCCCAGGGTTTGCCTTGGGTTTTCATCTTGTTCTGCCACTTTCTCTGAATGCCAAACCAGCCAGCATTATGGCCTCTGATGACCCCACTGTTCCAACTCCAACTGCAGCTTCTCCATCTCCCAGTGGTGCATTGAATAGGTGAGCTATCATGTTCACACACCGGTTCTGTATGCATAAAAATTCCAAGTCATGCATCTCAATTTTTGAAAAATAAAATGTAACAAAACTTGAAGACAGCATTGCTAGTCACTAAACAAGATTCCCGTCACTGTATAGTCTCGAAAAGATGAGATATAGATAATCTTACTCCAAATGCATAAATTGTTTGCAGGGTTCGAACCCATGACATAAAAATCCAATTAAGCTTAATCTCCAACAAGAACATTCTTTGCGTTCAAAAATAACACTTGGCCTTAAGAGGAAAAAAGGATCATGATATCGGGTAAATATCAAAAGTTATAACTTAATGAAGATTAATTATCTATATAATAAAGTACAATACAATTCAAATTTTAAAAGATAAATAAAATGACTTTTACTTTTTGCGGTTGAGATCTCTTTAAATTTTACTTTAAAGTTAATTCAACGGTTAATATTAACATCCCAAATTTAATAGAGAAAACAAGACTCTAAGGGTGTGTTTGGAGTAACTTTTTAAAAGTGTTTCTAGAACTTATAACCTCTCATAAGTACTTTAAAAAAAATTGTGTTTGGAACCGCCCCACCACCACCGCAACCAACCCCACCATCGCTGCGGCCGGCCACCCCACCACAACATTTGCCACCATCACCACCATTACGATTGTTGTCACCACCATCACTACTGTTACCGCCACCACCACTATTGCTGTCATTGCCTCATCACCACCACCCCCACCACCACAACCACCACTTCCACTGCCAACCTACTACCACCACCACCACCACCACCATAATAGCCACCCCACCACCATTGCCACCACAATCACTACCTCGCCACTGGCACCATCATTGCCACCCACCACCCGATTTCTAGCACTACCGTCCACCGCCACTGCCACCATCATTGCCACCCATCACCCGATTTATAGCACTATCGTCCACTGCCATCATCCACCATCATTGTTATCTCATTCTTATATTTATTATTATTACCACCATCATCTAACTATCACAGTCGTCCACCGTTAGTACCTACCACCACCACCCACTACCACACCACCACCACCAATCATCACTCACCATCATCGCCAGCCACTATCACCCACCTCCCACCACACCTACCACTATCGCCACCGCATTTGCTACCACTCATTACACTGTCGCTCAGAAACACCCATTACCGTCTTCCACCACCATTACAACCGGTGTTTAAATTCTTTCTCTCTCATCTATATTTGAGATTTAATTTTGGTTGTTAATATAAATATATTTATTGTTAACCATTTTTTTTATTACTATATGCGTTCAGACACAGAAAATAACTAGTAATTTAATAAGGTCAAATTACAATCCCAAAAATGAATTACCACAACAATAGGATCAAATTATGTAGGATCAAATTATGAGTTAAAAAAAATTTAAAATCGCTCTTAAATAATTTTATTTTATTGAGATCACATCTCATGTTGCCATAATCAATGTAGTTATGCCAAATTGACCAATTTTATATTCTTCTTTTTTTAATATCATAATCAAAGATATTCGAATGAACTTAGACCGACATGAATTAATTCTCTTTTACCTTCCTTTCCAAACAGTGCATCCGGATAATTTGACTTTTCCGTAGTGGTCCGTTGAGTAAGGGAGGAAATAAAATAGGAAACGCCTTTGTGTAGGATTCTTCTAGACTACTGGTCAATTCAATAAAAAGACTCGGCCAAAGACAATGATCACAACCGTTGATCCAATTGAAAAACTACAGAAATTGAACGATTCAGATGGCAGATGACCGACAGAAATGACTTTGACAAGATCTAATTAGATTAAAATCAATACGCAATAATACCAAACTCCAATTGCTTACCGGGTCAATCCGGGAAAAGAATATTATATTCTAGTAGTAGAAAACATAATTGGACTTGCGTCTTGAAGCGACTTTTAAGTAAAGCGCGTTAGTCCTATCCTACGTACAGAAATTAAGATATTTTATTATTTTATATGATATTTTATAAAAAAAAAATTTTTAGTCTATACTACCAAATCAATCATACTATTTTTACCTGAATTTCATCTAAAATAATCGGGTACGAAGTCGTATAAGAAATCAGGTGAACACATATTTTTTGATTATTAATTTTTAAATTATTTTAACAATTTAATTAAGTAACTTATATTAATTAACTAACACAATAAATCAATAACACTAAAGAAAACACAATAAATTTGATAATACATAAACAATTACAATAAAACACAACAAGTGAGTTATAAACATCGATACATCATATATAAGAAAGTCATAAACATCAATAAAATATTAGAATTTTTAGATTTTTAATTTTTAGAGATTAATATATATATATATATAGACACGCCAACACACACGGGTAGAGTAGGATAAAAATACAAAAAATTTATATGTATTCTATATACTTACTCGATTTTTTGCAAAAATATCAAAAGATCTTCTATTAGCTTATTTAATTTTTTTCGAATAATTGATTAATAAGATCGAATAAGGTAAAATAAAATTGAAATTTGTCGCTAACTGAAAATTTGAACACCTTATTTTTAAGTTGTTACACTAAGTGTGGAACCTCATCAAGATGACGAGAATCTCTTATGTATTGGATTGTTCTTTTTAGTGGAATATAATTATTCCGAAAATGAATAGAAAAATAATAGCTAGAAAACTTTAGAATAAACAAAGAAGTGTCAGGATTGGTTGGTCTGTCATGGCGTGGCCTATATTCGCGGCTCAAAATTAGGTCAGTAGCGCGCGCGCGCGCGCGCGCGCGCACACACACACACACACACACACACACACATATATATATATATATATATATATATATATATGAAAACAAATGGGTTAAGATTTTTGTGATCAAATTCGAATCTAGATTACAAAGATCATTCTCAGGTATGATTGGGATTGAGCCCGGCCTCATTTTATTTTGAAATATTGATCCTTTTTTATGGAGTTTTCCGAGATAAACTGAGATTGGTTCAATAGTAATTTCAAGGGTTTAAATTACTTCCCCTCAAAAAAAAAATAATAAATGAATTTTTTTTTATATTAAATGTATATTTTTTTTATATTATTATTAATAAAGGAAGAGGATGAACTCTCAAAATATCTACAATACACTTTCCTCTTAATGACCATATTTACTGACCAAAAAAAAAAAAAAACGTATTGGATCCACCATCTAGTCTCCGCATATATTTTTGATCCATCAACCATCCCTCCCACTCTTATTGGTCAAATGACAGATCTAAATGGAAGTTGACTAATTGAAAACACCAAGTCCACAATAAAAAAAAAAAAAAAGCTCTTTCTAATTTTACTTAGACTTATAATTTGATGATAAGGGTGAATAGCATTGCTCTTATCATAGGTTTAGGGTTTCTTCATCTTTATTATTAAACTATGAATTGATAGGAGTAGAGTGTTGCAATATATGATGACTTACCTGTAGCTCGGTGGTGACAGGGTACTCATCCATGTCAACGTAGTTCTTGTTAATGGCAGACATGATGAGCTTGTCACACTCTGGTTCCATCCATGTCGTCACAAAGGATGCCAAATTCAGCCTCGGATTTCCATCCAACATCAGCTCATCGTTGATGATCTGGAACGCTGCTTCCTTCGGGATCGAATTTTCCGCCATCTTGAACCTGAGACAATTACTCATGTCATTTTTCAGTACATAATCAGATGATCAAGACCCAGAAAAAAGAAACAGAAAAGCAAAGGAAAATGAAAAACTGATCGGAAACTCAGCAAGACAGATCAAGAAACTGGATTAACGGGTGATTTCAGATCTCCGAGATTTAGTTTGAAAGATTAAGATTGGATTACCGGGGCAGCGAGGTTCGAACATATCGAGAAGCGAAAGTTGAGTGAACGGAGACGTCGGATTGGGATGCAGTCTTGGAGATAACCATGGTGGCCACACACAGAGGGGGATGGAGTAGAGAGAGAGAGAGAGAGAGAGAGCAGGTTGTTGGACAGAAGGTTGAAGAGCAAGGGAGCTATATTATATATAAAAATAGGGCGATGCTATAGGGACATGTCTGTGGCTGACATGTTTGATGACTTAACGTGTGGGAGGGAAGCTTCCTACTTGCTTTGTTTAATTTAACACTTCCAATGCCACCTTCCCTACTTTTAAAATATGATCAAGTATCGAGAAGGAGGCTATAAAAGGAAATTTTCAACCAAGTCTAAAAATTAAAAGTAGCTCATAGAGTTTAAAAAGACTAGGATAAAAAAAAGAAAAATTCGAAAGTCATCCTGTAAGTCGTGTGATTAGACAAATATTATACCAATCTATTCGCATCACCCTCTTTCCCTAATGTCACTTTTTTTAATCACTTACTGCCCCGTTATTTTACGCACGTAAAATAAGTACACACCTAAATTCAACTCTCTAAAAATATAACTCAATCAAAATTAAGTCTAATACAAACTATCTCAAATTCAATTATATATATTAGGAGCCTTACACATCCGTGTGTGCTATTACAAAAGAGTGAGATATGACTAGAGAT